GAATTCATGGCACTGTCCCTGTGCAAAAACCCAGAGATCATGTACCCATAAATACATAGCAAAATGGCACCTCTTTCAAATTCACCCTGAACTCTTCCGAAAAGTTCGGAGCACTGAAAGCGCTGAAGAATTTCAGGCAGCAGCGATGGAGGAAAGTGATGAAAATGAGAATTACCCTCCAAAGGACATTGCTAAAGTAAAGAACATGGTAGAATACATCTTAATGAATAAAAAGCTACCATCTACTATTCCCAGTCATTTGAGGCTTTCTTCAGACTATAAGGAATTTCCAAAACACCTAATCCCTGATGAGACAATGTGCTACCACTGCTCAGACCGCACATTGCTCAGTGATCCTGTCTGCATTACACGTAAAGCGAAAATTCTTACAACTACAGGAATTGTCCAAGGTGGATAATTGTTACTTACATATTTTATTTTATTTTAATTTTGAAAAAGATACTAAACCATTTATTTTACATTCTGTATCTGCAGATATTTCAACCTACTACAAATTCTGTCCTTTCTGTGGAATGGTGTACCGTTACCAAGAGTGGGCTAATGGTTTGCATAACTTCAATGACCATGTCCTCCTTTTACTCTCTCTCTGCCTCACCATAAGAAACCTGTTGCAGGTAATCGTTATACAATACATATATTATATGTTATACAATATATTATTTTTTAAAACAATAGGATTTCTTCATAGTGTTGATTTTATGTTAGGCAACATTAGGCACATTCAAATCAAGACTTAAAACACATCTGTTTAGCTGTGCCTTTACTGAATGAGCACTGTGCTACGTCAGACAGTTCACACTATTATATTTTCTGTTTTTAACTGTTTTTTAAATAATTTTTATTCTTTGTTTTTATTTTCTTATACTTGTCTCTTTTATTCTTTTTTTATGTAAAGCACTTTGAATTACCATTGTGTATGAAATGTGCTATATAAATAAACTTGCCTTGCCTTACCTATATAAGTACTGATTAACTGTGATTTCTTTATCATAGGTGCATACAGCAGTCAGCAGAGTAGTGGAGTACTTAGAGGTAACTACAGGTGTACAGTTCCCCTCAGCAGTTACTCTTCTCCACGGCTATCTGCATTTTGAGGCCCTAACTGACCATGAAAACGAGTATTCATGTGTATCTTGTGGTGACAATCCACCTGTGGTCATAATGGACCTCCACAAGAAGGCATCCTTTCATCTCTCTGGTAAATATCTTTCCTTTTTACTGCAGAGATTTAAGTCTTATTAGTAAAACTATTAGTAAGTTTATAGTATGTATTTATTTTCTTTAGTGAGTGATCTTTCACAGCCTCCACAAGATTTTAATGGAGAGGTGGATTTAGATATGTTTTGGAAGGCACTGACAGAAGAACGAATTGCTCAAGGATTTTTTTCAAGTAAGGAAATTTATTATATCAGGAATGGCATGTCATCATTATTTAATTTCATAAGTGTTTTCAGGAGTACAATCTAAATTAACTGATGTACTAACATGTTTGTTTGTCCTAAAGGTCAAAAAAACAATCCATTTTGTGTTACACCTAGTTACAACTTTTGGGCACCCTGGATCGGGAGTAAGACTCGCATAGCGAATGTTGTTCTCAACATTGAATTTGAGAAAGTGCACAAAGCAAAAACTGCAGAACGAACAGAAATAACTGTCTCTGAAGATCGCTTAAAGGACGAACTTTCAAAACAGAAAGTAAAATATTTAATGCTAATTATATGTATTATTTGTCAGTGTTGGCATTTCATTTAACATGTGTGTTTTATGTGATAGGTGGGAGTGATAAGAAGACTGTGTCAAGAGTGTGGTTTAGATGCCAAATGCTCTCGCACAGATCTACTCCTGCGACTTTCGGAAGAGATGAGGTCAAGGGTGGCCTATGACAAGGTTTTTGAAAAGATTTGGGCTGCTTCAGGTAAACCTCAATGTTGCACATTAAAATATTACAAATAAATCAGAAATGTACAAAGTCACATAGACATAATGGGTCCTGTTTTCTGCTTGGCACTGATTGGGGAGTGACTGGTGGTGTACAGCTCTGGGGGGTGTTGGAGGTGGCCTCGTCTGACACCTATTGTTGCTTTCCGTGTGGGGGAGTGTATTTACATCTCTGAGGCACTGCATCTTTAAATTTTTTAAAAGTATACTTTGTTAAGGTTAATGCCACTGCCCTCCATCATAACCTATGGTCATTTAAGTCCCAATGTCATTAATGGGATTTGATTATGTTTTCTAAACTATTTGCTTATCTCTTTTGTCTGTTCCAGGAGGTTGGGCCGTCATCATGTGTCCTTGTGGCATAGTTTACAGTATAAAATGTAATCTGCGAGCAGAAAGTCCACGGGATTTTGCAGATATGCTTCTGTCTTGGAAGCATCTGCCTAATGTTGTTATTTATGACTTTGCCCGTGGACTGTCCACCCACACAAATTTGAGGCAACCCATAACTTTCACACCTTTCGAGGGAAGGTTACTCGAACCAACCACTGAAAATATTGCAAAAGCAAAATCAGGAAAATTACAGGTAACTCTGCCATGGCTCACTGCAAAAAAGCAAAGTCCAGATCCGGATGGTCATCCAATAACTGGTTCTGCAGAACACTATGTTCTGTATGACCGCTTTCACGAAGACAACACAAAAGATCCTCGTGATTCACTGAGGAAGCTTCGTCTTGTGCCTCAACTAGCTGGCAAAGTTAACAGTCAGGCTGCAGAACAGCTTTTTTCAAAGCTAAAGAAAAATAACTACTTTATGAACATGGCATTGCCATCCACACATGTTTTCCTCATGCGAAACATCATCCACCATTACAATGTCAGAAAAAACGAGAAACGTCTTCATGACATAAAAAAGGAATTCAACACAAACATTCACATGAATGACCACAGCCAGGTTGTGTTAGGTAATGTTTCCCTTACTGTGTAACAAATACATCACTATATCCATAACTGTACTTATGTGTATATTTGCATTTATAGAAAATCCATCCTCCACAGAGAAATGCATGGACATGTCACTTGGTAATTTGACTGTTCTTTCCAGTTGCTCAGTGTCAAGTTTCTGTTCACTAATTATTATGTGTTATTTTCTAATTTTGATGCTTTAATGTACTCTAAGGACCACTGACAGCACTGCCAAAAATATTGTGACTTTACAAACGACCGCTGCATCACCAGGCAAAACATCAGTCACATCTCCTCTGTCATCAGTACCAATTAAAGAAAAAACAGCTTGTGAACCTACCACTCTTCTGAATTTTTTGGAACCTACTAAGCCTTGGGAGAGGGACTGGCATCCATTACAAGAGAAACTGGTGAACAATTACCATTACATACAAACGCAAACACACACACATATTTATTGCTATTATTATTACAGCTTGATTATGTGCTGGACCGAAATCGCCCTGGCAGTGAAATAATTGTGAAGGAGGGGAAAGTGTGCCTTATTCGAGAAGAATTTTGGAGCCTTGGATTGTTGAGGGACATGGACTCCCATGTAAGCAGTCTGTTTTTTTATTATAACTTTTTTTTTATTAAAAACATTGACTTATCAAAGTATTTATTGCAGATTGGAAACGCCTGCATGAAGCTTATTTTTGAAATGGCTCGACAAATTGTATGTACTATAAAACATAATATTTATATAGATTGTTTTAACTTGATCCAAATTTAAAAAAAAAAAAAAATTCTAAACTGTGTGAAAATGTTCATGTCATTGTCAACAGTTTCTTTTTATTCATGTAGGGCAAGGACATATACATTGAGGACTTTTATGTTGTCCCTGTGTGGAAAGAAACTCCTAACAACATTGTTACTGGATTACCGGTGCGTGTATGTACTGTATTTACTGTGTGAGAAGTACAAACTAAATTAAACAACATAACTGTCCTGATTAATTTCAGGAAGATGCAGACTTGAAAGACCTGTTAGCCTTTCCAGCATGGACAAATGCCAATGGACCAGACCACTTTGTTGTCTGTGTAAGAAAATATTAAAATGTCTAGTGCATACATTAATTGGTATTGCAATGTGTGTGTTTCTAAAATAAAACACTGAAAAATCTTGGAAGAAGCAATAATGTTCAAATGAAATATTTTTACACCTTTAACATTGTAGATAATGATGCCGCTTCGAAGAGAGATGGTGTTCTTAGACTCTCTGTACGCAGAGCATGAATCAGGATTTGGAGATGAGGAATACAGGGCAATTTTTAGGTCTATCAATAAACTAAGACGTTTCAGCCTTTATGTGATATATGGCTACGTTCCTATAGCCATTTCTATTTATTTCCTAACCGTGTATTATAGTTCTGTCACTTTTGGCTACGTTCCTATAGCCGTTTCTTGAACTTCTGGCTATGTTCATCTAGCCTTTTTTATGCATGGTGTTCTAGAGTTGAGGTGAGCTGTAATTGTTAGTATTACTACTAATATGTTTTGTTTACAGGAAAATTGCTTACCAAGTGGATCATGGGACATGGACTGAAAAGACTGGATATGATTTTCCAGTGAGGAATCAACTTAAAAAAAAAATATATTTTATACTTTTACAACAATTAAATTTTTTGTACATTATTCTAAAATAAAAGTGATTTGCTTTGCCTATTTTAGGCTTTGCCACGTCAGACAAGAGGGGATGATTGTGGTGTTTTTGTACTCTTGGTAAGATATAAATTGAGTTAATTGATTTAAAGATTTTGTAAACATTGTAAATGACTGTGGCTTCTCTCTTTTCACTACACCCTCTCAATGGTGTGTGGCATTGGGTTTCAATTCCAGGAGGTTTTATTTTATTATTTATGTAACTTTATTTTGTTTGTGCTTTTCTTAATCATAGCTAAAATGTAACTATTTTAATGTATATTATCTTGCTTTCTTCTAAGCAACATATCTTTAAAAAAAAAAAAGGGGCATGGTTATTGCAAGCACACCCAACATCATGTATTAACAAAAACATGTTGGTTAACTGTCAGACTAAACAGTCTTTCTTTCAGATGGATATGCCTATCATCCGTCAGTGGTGGTGCCTTCTACTCATGGAACGATTTCAAATTGATGGGTATGTCAGTATTTATTTATTTTTTCTTGAAAATCTGTAAAATTAAAAATTTATATTGTGTCAGTACAACAACTTGTAACATGAACAACAAAACATACTTAAAATCTCTCTTACCGGTGACCAGTTAATATGGATTTTGTCTTGTCTTGTTATTAAAAGCTATGGGCACAGATTTACTTTCTGGACTAAGGAGGCAAGAAGTGTCTTGGATGGAAAGATTCTGCCCCTTTTTAGGGTGAAAAGAAAAACCACATCCAATCTTCCGGCACATGTCCAAGCAGTTCAAGATCGGGAAAGGAATGACTAAAGATTAGTGGACTTGATTATCACATCAAAATCAGCAGAGCAGCATTTGGTGGTATAGATGGTTCCACTTTAAATTACTCCTCTAGACTCTAAGTATGGTTGACTTAAATATAATCAAGTGACAATTTAACTATTATTTGCCAAATATAATTAATTACTTGTGTATTTACATATGAAATATAATTTCCTTCTATGGCCCAAAGGATATACTCGGTGGGAAAAGGTCAAATTGGTTTCCACTAAAACCCCGTTCTCAAGTGCCTGTCTACATTGAGAATGAGCAGTCCCAGTCAATCATTTGTGACTACATCAGAGGAATTCTTAATAAAACCAAAACACAGCTGACCTTCAATGATGAGGTGGAGTTCATTTGTGGATGTCTCCTCCCAGAGGTAATCACAAAACATGTTTGTACATGAGCATGCTTATGTTCTGCAGTGTGTGTTTTATTTTATTAATTGGTTTATCTGTATGTTTGTACAGGCCATAACTCATGGCATTTCCGAGTTACAAGGCTTGTCTTGGCAGGAGGCTGAAGATGTCTTCCTCCAGGGCCCCATTTATCACGCAAGGTATGTTTACATTTTTTTTTTTGTACAAAAGCTGTTAAGTTTTTATGTTAAACACAATTTCTGACAACAGCATTTATTTTTTTTAGTGAAGTTGAGGAATTTAACAGAAGAATTGCTCGAGAAATGAAAAATCTCCCCAACAAGAATGTAAAGCATTTTATTTTATTTTATATGTAATAAATACATTATTAATCCAAGTATTGTTTTTCACAATTTTTCTCTGCATTTTTTACAGCTCGATGACTTGTAGGACCTCATGAAAATTTATAAAAAAAAAAAGTTTGGTGTGAGAAAATTACTCCGAGTACTATCATTTATTCTGTGAATAATAAGATAATGTTCATTCCCTCAACTCAATACTAAAGAGTTTGATAAATCCTTAATGATTTAAAAACAAAAAACAACAACAAAAACAATAAATGACTGAAAATATTTAAGTAACTGAACAATATCTATTTACAAATACAGTTAATTAAAATACAACAGACTTAATGCATTAAATCATAATCTAGTATGTTTAATATTTTATATAATAATGTATTCAATCATAGTGCAATATTTTATAGTAGAAACCAAAAGTATAGTATAGGAAGTCTCATGCTCTACCGACTGAGGTAGCCGGGCTGATGAGATTAACTTTTAAGAGCTAAACACTGTTTACAGTAATACCTTCCCTACCCGTGACAATGTTCTGCTAAATCCTGATTTCGTCTTGTAACGCTGTTAACAGCCTAACGCGCTAACCGATTGCGCCACAGAGACTTAGTGAAAGGTCACCTACAGTGGTAGAAACGCGGAACTTTGTCTCAAAAGGTCTGCTATATGAACCCTAATGATAGTTTGCTGAGAGAAAGAGAGGTAACAGAAACGCCCAATGTGGGGCTCTAACCCACGACGCTGAGATTAGGAGTCTCATGCTCTATCGACTGAGCTAGCGGGGATGATGAGAAGCTCTTTTAGGAACCAGAAACTGTTTACAGTAATACCTTCCCTACCCGTGACAATCTTCTGCTAAATCCTGATTTCATCTTGTAACGCTGGACAGAATGTGGCCCAGGATCTATGTCCAGTGCACGTGTTAGCAGTTGCAAGGCAGCAAAATGCCTAATTCGTCCCTGGGTGGGCTTTAACCACCAACCTTTCAGTTAACAGCCAAACGCGCTAACTGATTGCGCCACAGAGACTTAGTGACAGGTCACCTACAGTGGTAGAAACGCGGAACTTTGTCTCAAAGTCTGCTACATGAACCCTAATGTAAGTTTGCTGGGAGAGAGAGAGAAAAATATAACAGGAACGCCCAATGTGGGGCTCGAACCCACGACCCTGACATTAAGAGTCTCATGCTCTACCGACTGAGGTAGCCGGGCTGATGAGATCAACTTTTAAGAGCTAAACACTGTTTACAGTAATACCTTCCCTACCCGTGACAATGTTCTGCTAAATCCTGATTTCGTCTTGTAACGCTGGACAGAATGTGGCCCAGGATCTATGTCCAGTGCACGTGTTAGCAGTTACAAGGCAGCAAAATGCTTGATCCGTCCCTGAGTAGGCTTGAACCACCAACCTTTCAGTTAACATCCTAACGCGCTAACCGAATGCGCCACAAAGACTTAGTGAAAGGTCACCTACAGTGGTAGAAACGCGTAACTTTGTCTCAAAGTCTGCTACACGAACCCTAATGTAAATTTGCCGGGAGAGAGAGAGAAAAGTAACAGGAACGCCCAACGTGGGGCTCGAATCCACGACCCTGAGATTAAGAGTCTCATGCTTTATCGACTGAGCTAGCGGGGCTGATGAAAAGCTCTTTTAGGAGCTAGAAACCGTTTACAGTAATACCTTCCCTACCCGTGACAATCTTCTGCTAAATCGTGATTTCATCTTGTAACGCTGGACAGAATGTGGCCCAGGATATATGCCCAGTGCACGGTTTAGCAGTTGCAAGGCAGCAAAATGCTTAATTCGTCCCTGGGTGGGCTTTAACCACCAACCTTTCAGTTAACAGCCAAACGCGCTAACCGATTGCACCACAGAGACTTAGTGAAAGGTCACCTACAGTGGTAGAAAGTCAGAACTTTGTCTCAAAAGGTCTGCTATATGAACCCTAATGTAAGTTTGCTGAGGGAGAGAGAGAAAAGTAACAGGAACGCCCAACGTGGGGCTCGAACCCACGACCCTGAGATTAAGAGTCTCATGCTCTACCGACTGAGCTAGCCAGGCTGATGAGAAGCTCTTTTAGGAACCAGAAACCGTTTACAGTAATACCTTCCTACCCGTGACAATCTTCTGCTAAATCCTGATTTCATCTTGTAACGCTGGACAGAATGTGGCCCAGGATCTATGTCCAGTGCACGTGTTAGCAGTTGCAAGGCAGCAAAAGGCCTAATTCGTCCCTGGGTGGGCTTGAACCACCAACCTTTCAGTTAACAGCCGAATGCGCTAACCGTTTACGCCACAGAGACTTAGTGAAAGGTCACCTACAGTGGTAGAAAGTCAGAACTTTGTCTCAAAAGGTCTGCTATATGAACCCTAATGTAAGTTTGCTGAGAGAGAGAGAGAAAAGTAACTGAAACGCCCAACGTGGGGTTTGAACCCACGACCCTGACATTAAGAGTCTCATGCTCTACCGACTGAGCTAGCCGGGCTGATGAGGAGTCACCACTAGAACTAGACACTGTTAACGGTAATACCTTCCCTACCCGTGACAATATACTGCTAAATCCTGATTTCATCTTGTAACGCTGGACAGAATGTGGCCCAGGATCTATGTCCAGTGCACGTGTTAGCAGTTGCAAGGCAGCAAAATGCCTAACTCGTCCCTGGGTGGGCTTTAACCACCAACCTTTCAGTTAACAGCCGAACGCGTTAACCGATTGCGCCACAGAGATTTAGTGAAAGGTCACCTACAGTGGTAGAAACGCGGTACTTTGTCTCAAAGTCTGCTACATGAACCCTAATGTAAGTTTGCCGGGAGAGAGAGAGAAAAGTAAGAGGAACGCCCAACGTGGGGCTCGAACCCACGACCCTGAGATTAAGAGTCTCATGCTCTACCGACTGAGCTAGCCGGGCTGATGAGAACATCTTTTAGGAACTAGAAATTGTTTACAGTAATACCTTCCCTACCCGTGACAATCTTCTGCTAAATCCTGATTTCATCTTGTAACGCTGGACAGAATGTGGCCCAGGATATATGCCCAGTGCACGGTTTAGCAGTTGCAAGGCAGCAAAATGCCTAATTCGCCCCTGGGTGGGCTTTAACCACCAACCTTTCAGTTAACAGCCAAACGCGCTAACTGATTGCGCCACAGAGACTTAGTGACAGGTCACCTACAGTGGTAGAAACGCGGAACTTTGTCTCAAAGTCTGCTACATGAACCCTAATGTAAGTTTGCTGGGAGAGAGAGAGAAAAATATAACAGGAACGCCCAATGTGGGGCTCGAACCCACGACCCTGACATTAAGAGTCTCATGCTCTACCGACTGAGGTAGCCGGGCTGATGAGATCAACTTTTAAGAGCTAAACACTGTTTACAGTAATACCTTCCCTACCCGTGACAATGTTCTGCTAAATCCTGATTTCGTCTTGTAACGCTGGACAGAATGTGGCCCAGGATCTATGTCCAGTGCACGTGTTAGCAGTTACAAGGCAGCAAAATGCTTGATCCGTCCCTGAGTAGGCTTGAACCACCAACCTTTCAGTTAACATCCTAACGCGCTA